TTATATCACCACGAGTGTGTTAAAACACAGCTTCTTCAATCCGCTGTCACCAAGGGCAGAGGAAGGAGAAGTCTTCTCCCCCTCCGCAGACACCGGAGGACACACGCGCTCCCACTTCTCCAAAGCGGTGGGAAGACAGCCTGGGCTCACATTACCAACAGCTCAGGAGCAGCCCGGAGAAAGGAAACGCTGCCATGGCAACACAAACCGGCCTGTAATTTGAGGCCGTGTACCAGGCACTTCACCGTCCTTTAACTGCACAACTTTCAGTATCAGTCCGTCCAGTTTTCAAGCTTGGGGAGCAGGGGGGGAAGACCTACCATACAGTATTTTCTCATGATCCAAACAATGTCAGTCTTCCCTCAATATAGACTGCGTTCCTGAAAGGCTGAAATCTCCCGTGACAGGCACGGCAATATAAGCGCAGACAGAACAACTATCCATGGCTATGCCTACAAGAAGATGGAGCGCAGCCCAAGACAGACAGAGCTTTAGCGCAAAAGAGTTGGTGCTGAGCAATCAGCACCCACACTACACATGTTTTGGAGGTGCACCCTGCAGCGCGAACTGAAGCGTGGTAAGTGGGCAAATTCAAGAGATTCACTTCAGAAGTGCGCTCCCAGTCCAAACCAGAACGTGAACACAGGCTAGTCATCAACTCCAACGCAGCGGGACGCTCGGCAGATCAGGAGGTCTCCAGAACCAGGGAGAACAAAATAGTGTCTCCGGCAAACGTCAGCACTCTTCTTGCTTTGCTGTCACACCTCCAGGAGATGATTTCACAGCTGATGGCTGGCTGGCAGCAATAGCCAGCTAAGCATCAAAACGCAAACCAGATCACAGGAGAGCACGCATAGGACACAGAGCCCCCTTCGGACATGGACATTCTTCCAGCATGAGAGTCGGACTTATTTGTCAGGGTTTTAAAACCCTGTTCCTTTGTCTGATGATGCAGAGTAAAACACACTTTGCTGATGCAATGTGCCACAAGCCTCCCTTCTACCTTAAGCGCTCAGGATAGAAGAGAACTGACTACTCCTTCAAGACAAAAATAAGATGTCAGTAAGAAAGAAAAAATGGAAGAAGATATAAAATTATCTTGTCATCTGCGAAAAGCACACAGAGGCATCTGTAGCACGTGGTTACAGGCAACGCCAACAGCAAAACAAGCTCGTAAGCTACAACCACTCGCTGTAAGAAGTCACATCTTCGCAGCCCAGTGGACGTCTGAGGCCTCCTAAACAAGGAGCATCAACAACGATCACTACGGCAAAACCCAGCAATGCGGCCTTCAGCCAAAGAGGCCTGAAGCATCCAAACGATCCACCACATCAGTATTTCTGTAGTCTGTGGCAGGGGCTTATTTTGCATGAAGAATCTGGAGCGGTACCTCCATTTGAACCCTTTCCAAGCAGGGCAGAGGGGAAAGATTTACCCACTGCTTGTCGGAAATGTGAGAGCTTCTCAAAAGTTTCAAGAGAGATTGCTTTTTTGTTAAATGCAGTTTCTGTTCTTAAAAACTAGAGAGCTCTGCAGTCTCTAGAGCCTAGGCAAAATGCTGACAGAGCCTATCAGCATCACCTTGCTGGTAATAGTTGCAACTCTTGCGTACTTTGTTTCTCCAGTAGAGGAGAATCAGTAAATCATCCTTTTACTTTCCTTCACCCATCCTAAACCCACTAATACTGGTAGAGTCACTAGGGTAAGAAAAGGATCACACAGTCTGAAATTCATGCTGCCCATATGCCAAGACATTAGGTTGGACTGGTAACTCTTAAACCGTAGGGGCTTCCAGACTGGAAATGACTGAATTTTAAGAGCGCTTAAGGAGTCACTGCCTTGACTCAAGCAATCCAGAGCCCCAGGCTCTCTAATCCATTTTAATGTTCCTGTTGAGGTCCCTGTGCTCTGTGGAAAGCTTTACATGGATCCGTGGGTCCCACGAGTTGTGCATCTCAGACTCACTTCATAGGGCAGGGGCGGTCATTCCTGCACAAAGACAGAACTGAAGTTGATATTCATCCAACAGCCAGGTTCAGAGGCAACAGGAATCCGATCACCTCAAGCGTTTTTAGCAGCCTCAATGAGCAGTCAAAGCAGTAACCCATACCCTGTTTTAAGAGGTTTCCCTTCCCCCATCCCCATTTCTTCTCCCGAAATTTGTAGCTTCCTTCCTTGACAAAGCTACCCGCTTCTTCCAGTGCGCATTTACCACATGTGGCCCTGTGCAATCATGCATTCAGAGACCTGTTTCATTCACACAGGTACAGCTTATAGCATTTCATTGGTAGCATCAGAGCATCTGGAATCGACCAAGAGTCAGCCCCAACATTGACTTGCCACAGAGCAGTAAGAAGCTGAGCGAATAGGTGATGTTCAGTCTTTCAGCGCAACGCAGCTCTTACTGATGCCCGCTGAGCTGCCCGCTATACATCTAGGACGTCTATATCCAGAGGCTGTCAAACATACCAGACACTACATGCATTTCTGATAAGCCTGATACATGCTATTCTGATAGCCTGTTATCATTTAGGCTAACATTCAAGCACTCAGATTCAGGATTTGTTTGGTTTTTTTGGTATGTTTTTCAAGTCAGAGCTGGCTTCTTGAGAAGCAGGATGCGAAAGAAGTCACTCGGAAAATCATTTAAGTCAGTAGAAGAAATAATTTATACAGAAAAGAGTATCCTTGAGTTAAGAAGGGGATCTTTACATGCAGCGTGTGTCAGAGACTGTACCATACAGAGATACACACCCTTTCCACAAAAACAGCAACATTACAACAGAGGCTAAAGCAAAATAGACTATTAAGTGCAAGAATTAAGACAGTTATTTGAAAGCTGGAACTGCATTAAGTGTAAGGGAAGGTCACAAGTGAAAGTCAGGTTAGTGTTCAAGACAGCTTTCAGATTGAGAAGCACACCCTATCTCAGGGCCTCTAATTTTCCTGCAAGAATTCAGATGTTTTTCTTATAGCAGAGGAAAGTTCTTGTTTTCCCCCTTTTTAATGGGACAGCAGATGTCGACAGCGAATGAATGAGAAAGCTTAGGTATATGAGAGCACAAAACAGGAAAGACAGTCAAATACAATTTGAGCAGAATTTATCTCACAACGAATGGAGCCTGTAAGTAAGAATTTCTGGCATCAATGAGTTCAGCAAAGCACTGAGGAAATTAGAATATACCTGAATTAAAGGTAAGCCTACGTCATCTTAGTTTGACCTAGTTTGTCCTGACAGAACACGAATCAGGAATCTTGACGTTCTGCCGCTACGCTGCCTTGTGAATCACAACAATGCTACTAATGGGCCTTAGTGCTGGAGAATCCTGGCCTTTTTTTGTTGCAGGAGGTAAAAAGTCTTTGTTGAAGGCAGCAGAGAAAGAGGGAAAAGGATTTCCTCCTGGCTCTGTCTAGGTTATGCAAGCGAGCACAGTGAACAAATGCTCCAAACCAGCTGAGAAGGGAGCCAGTGCTACAGTTACCATATGGACTTGGGTCTAGCTGTGTAAATACAGTGTATCTTTAAGCTAATATACCCCACATGTGACTACATCTGCATCCAACTGGCCAAATCCACACGGTACTGTGCCACACCACGTTAGCTGATACCCAAGCTGGTAAGCTATTTGCTATCCCTGCAAACTATTTAATTTCACAGTATGACTGTAGTCATAGCTATGCTAAAAAAAGCAGTGAAGAAGGAACATGCCCAGAAATTTTGGCATGTAAGAATACAGAGAGCACCAGTTTAAGCCATTAAGAAGGATCAGCCCTTTCAATCCAACACACACACACACACACACACATTATTTTGTTTGAGAACAGCCAGTGGCAGCAAAATATAATTATCCCTTTTATATAGGCCAGTCGGTATAGATGTATTTGTGCTTTCTTTTTTCCTTTAAACAGTAAGACCAGTAGAAAAGGAAGAAACTTTAAAAGTAGGAGCACTATAGCAGCACAGGCTGTAATCCAAATTCTTGCAGGCAAGGCAATGCCAGTCATTTTAGACCTCGCTCATAACTCCCGTTGGCTTCTGTGCCCTCCAGCCTGTCCTTCGCACTTTATTGCCTCCCTTAGCCCTTGTCTGCCTTCTCTTCCTCAGTCCTCTGTGTAGGCGTCATGCGTCTCACTTAATTTTTCATGTTATTCCTGTGACAGAGAATGACTCTGTGTGTGTATTCACATGCATGTGGAGGTGGAAGGAAAGGGAAGAGAAACAGAGAGTCCCCACGACCCCCAGCCTGGCATCTCGCACCACAGCCATCACAGGATGGAAAACACTCCTTCCACTATGGGGTAGAGCAACATGCTCACTGTAGATACAACTTCCAGAGTTTTAACTGCCACGTTAACAGACCTCTATTGAACACGTGCAGGACAACTATTCAAAAGCTTATGAGCAAGCCAGGTACAGCTGTATGATTACTCCAACAACAGCCCCTTGTCAGAGTTACCCTAACAATACGTCCTCCCTAGCCGTAAGGGAGCCCCATGCCAATTCCAAATCCCACAGGTGGTACAGTTTACAATTTTTTTTCTTTTTTAAACAGAAATATATTTTCTGTCCATGCTAATATTATTTTCTTCATCCTCAAATAAATGAGTTTCTCAAACTAAAAACAAAGATTCAGCAAAAAGACCTCTTAAGACAGACATCTAAAATTTCAGGCTGAATGCCACAGCCTGACAAAATTATAAATAAGTGCAAGCAAGGTCTCTTACAGTAACATGTTAGCCAGCTTTAGAAAGGATGTGTCACAGCTAACTCCACCCCAGTCAGTACTAAATAAAAACACAGGATGACAAAAATCTCTTTGTAATTTGTCAGAAGTGGCATTTCTAAATCATCTGCAGTTGCAAATGAAGCGTTGAAGTCATATGATTTCAACACACAACTGTTTCATACATAGAAAAAAAAATTCTTAAGAACAGCAGCGTCTTCCTCATCGCCCCATCAACTTCAAACTTATTAACACTTTCTTCCGCCCAAGTCTTACCTTGCCATGGCTTCTCTCCACCTTTCGGAAACATTTGTTCAAGGAAAGGTTGTGTCGGACAGAGTTCTTCCACCCTGTAGGTGCTGTGGCAAAGTAGGGGAAGCGCTCCAGAATCCAGCTGTAAATTTCTTTGACTGGTAAGCTCTTATTTGGAGAATGTTCAATAGCCATATAAATGAGAAGGCTGAAAGAGTAAGGGGGTTTGGAAGTGGCTGATTTTTTTTCTGGATTCTGGTAGCAAGAAGGTGAGAAGGATGGCACGCTATCACCCTCAATGTCATATAAAGGGCTAACAATCGGAAGACCCTCACTTCCAAGACTGAAGTTTGTTAGAAGATTAGTACTTTCATGCAGCCAGTTCAAATTTGTGAGCTCATCATCTGTCGAATCGCTGTCCACTACAGTGGCCTTCGGCCTACCAGCATCAACTGCTTCGGGCAAACTTCCCATTCTGTGAAACTGTCTTAATCCTGCAGCTCTTTCTGCTCCTGGTGTTTCAGCTTTCTTATCTGGAGTCATTCCAGTGACTGGACCCATTTAGTTTTATTGGTCTGCAATAAAGAAAACAATTAGAAATCAATGTAAACTTTAAAAATGCTATTCTGTTGCAACCCACCAAACCATCAAAACCCAATAGGAAGGCAATGCTGTACCATCCCCATACTGTACAATAATAATATTATCGCTGATTGAGAGCCAGCATCCAAGAGAGCCCTTGGGGTAACCTTATGAGCACTAGTTAACTCTCCCCAGTTTATAACTTATTACGTTAAGCACTTGGAAACTGCTACACCTATTTTTAGATTCCAATTTGGATACAAGAAGAATAGCTATTTTGATGTCACCATCTAAAAAATTTGAAAAGGAGTTTAACAGGTTGGCTCTAATCCATTCAGTCCCCACATTAGTTGTTTAATTATACTCAGTATACTGTAAATTAACCCTATCTAAAAGGGTTTGATTTAGGTCCCTAAAGAAGAAAAAACAACTTGCAGAACTTAAATCACTGTAAAAGTGAGTTTATGGCCTCAGAGCAAAATATTACATATCATCCCCCCCCCCCCCCCCCCCCACACACACACACACAAATGTCACAGTCATTCCAAAGTACTCCCTCTCTTTTCTGCCAGGGGAGGACTTGGCCAGCTGATCAGTTCAGCTAGTTCCTGCACAACTGCTCAGCTTTAAAAAGAAAGATGCAGCCCTTGCTCTCCCTCCTCTAAGCATTGTTGCTTTAAGCCAGATTCTTTTGCAGAACTGGGTAGCATCAGTCAGAGGAACACTTAAACCAGCAGAACTGAGGCTGGTGTAATCAGCCCTGAACAGGAAAGCATGATCAGCTGAGACAGCAACTCAGATTTGTCACAGCCATTATGTCTGACCACACGCTTTACATTTTTGCCTAGATTTAAAATATTAAAATATTTTATACAAACACACACACACAAACACACACACTATATATATACAAGCACGTATGTATATCTGCCACCCAGAAGGCACAGTCTGGCAATCCATCCTATAGAAGAATTACACAAATAAAAATTATTTTCTTGCTTGCATAGTTTTAAAAGGGGTCATCTAGCAAACTGTGTTATGCTGACAACTGTTTTTTCTGCAGATGTAACCATGTTTGAGCTTCTCTGCACTTAAAGCTTTGCAAACAGTTGTATAAGAAGCACAGGCCAACAGAACCACTTTACAGATGTGGCTACATCAGCATGCTACAAATGCAAGGCACTCCTACTATGGATGCAGTTTATCGGCAAAGCTGAGGAAAAAAAGAAAACAGCTCCTTGTCCCAGTATTTGTGATATTATTACGGGAGGATGCTCCTGCTCCAATAACTCAACTGCAGAAGAGAGAACAGACTAGGATCTGATGATTGATATGATCTGTGACGTGATTTTCGTATCACATCTTACTAGACAGTTCTGTGCAACTTACTGCGTGTTTCCTTGTATGAGCTTTTATAGTACTTTCTGTAAACGCATGGTTTAGGGCACTTGTACCTTCTCCCACAAAGGAAGTGGGGGCAAGCAACTGGTCAGCTTTGCTGCAAAGGTCTTGCTCTCTCATCTGCAAAATCATATTGACATCTGGTTCCAATTTGGTAAGCCCATCATACACATATTCAGCAGTTCTTGCTACAACCGTTGCCTCAACCTGGTTGAAAGCTTGGTGAAGTTCTCCAGTAGACTCCTTTATCTAACTCCTGATTAGCAAGGGCACACAATTCTGGGCAATCACAGAAAGAAAAATATCCCCCAGCCCCAAAGAGGCGCTAGAATCTCTAAGTGCTTAACGACTTAACGGTGCCCTTTTCCTTTAGCATTACCATTTTTGGTAGTTTGCGGCTTGTCATTTCTAGTAGCTTGAGCAGTAAGGCAGACTTTGTCCTCTTTCAAGGACAAATTAGGAGATTTATTAGCCCCTCGATTTTCCTTATTCCAGAGAACTAGAGTGCCGTGAGAGGTGAAGGACTACTATGGCGACATAAAAACGTAGAACAGCTCCAGCTGAGGAATACATCCACTTTACACTCCCTAAGAGAAGTCACAAGTCAGAGCACAGCCAGCACGACGCCAGGCGCTGCTGGACACCCAGGCCTACCGCATCCACCCCGCAGGGCACGAGCAAGTCACCTCGAGACACAGCTCCTCCTCCTCCAGAAAATGGATGGTGTTTCCTATGTGCAAATTCTTCTCCTCCCTTCACCCATTCTTCCTCACCAGCTATTTTAAAGATTTGTCATCTCCAATCCCTTTTGTCAGAGGACTATTTGATCTGGAGCAAGAGAAGATCAAGATCCTACAGCAGGTGACGTGTTACCTGGTTGTGCCGAGCAAGCTGCGGAGCAATTTCTCCGTGTTTTTCAGAAAACAAAATCCCCTCAAGAAAGCCCATCGCTCCCGTTCTACCAGAGGAGTTGCTGGAGCAGGGCACAACTAGGAAGGGAAAGTTGCCCTCTTCAAATCAACCCGCCAGTGGCCACACCATGGTCTGGGCTGCAGCAGCCAGCAGAAACCCTTTCCGAGAACAAAAATTTTTTTATCATTTCCTACAGCCCCTCATCCTAGGCAGGGCCGTTTTGGGCAATCTGACCTCTAATTTTAACAACAATATCTGCACCTATGCTTACTAGTGCTACTACTGCTGGAAACCATCCCCAAATTTTCTATTTATGTGCAGGGAGCGGCATGATTAACTACCAGCTCAGTCATTAAAAAATTCAAAGCAAACTAAACTGCTCAAATAGCTTGTCAAAAATAACTTTGCTCTCCCCGCAGTTTACTTCTCCCTCAAGCCATCAGAACAGATTTATATTGGCAGTCAGTGAATGCTCGCTTTAAACAGATCAATTCATACATATGTCTAAACTATTTACTTTTTGAATCCTTTCTTAAATTAAGAAAACAAGCAAACAAGAAAAAGACTAATGACATAATTCATTAAGTGAGACAAATCCAAATCCCGCTGCAATATGAATTTCACCATTTTCTTTATAACGAGGAACTTTACTTCCTTGTTCTGTTGCTCTTTAGCCAGCTATGTACTAGTTTACACTACTCAGCTGTATAGTAGTAATTTTAGCACCCAGTTCACATTACATGAAAGATCCCTTTGCGAATCTTCAGCCAGCAGAGCAGACCAAAAGCATGCGTGCGCGCGCACACACACACACACACACACAAGTTTTAGGCTGCTACATTCCCTTTGTGAACATGGGGCAATAAAGTCTAGGTTTATAACACAAATAGGGACTTGACAGTCTTAAAAGTCTTTTCAAAGATATAGAGGGAAGAAATATATTAACTTAATTAAATCGCCATTTAAAAATCAGGTAGACATTCTGGTGTCAAGGTGCTATTTGTTTATATGCTATTATGTGTTAGTAGAGAGTCATTAGAATAATTAATTCCCTGCTTCAAAGAAAAAATCATTTGGAAGCAATATACATACAGTGGAAAAAGGATGCAAAGGTGTTTCTCTAAATACGAGCACTACAAAAAGCTACATGGATGTTTCATATTATCTTCCTAGTGCCCAGTTTACCACCTCACACATCCTCCACATGGACACATCAGCAGAATTTAAAATACTTTCTAAAATGTTACAAAGGCTATCTGGCTATTACAGTCTAATAAATCAGAAAAAAAGATTAAAAACTGCAGTAGTTGTGGAACTGTAAAGGGCGTTCTTCAATGATCTAAACTGAATTCTGCATCAATGATCATTTAAATATAGAAACAGCCAAATAAGTAAAAGAAAAAGTTATTTTTAATCAAGTAATACTTCTCTCCAGAAAGACAACATCAAAGTTCTCAGTTGAGCCACCCGTTTGTGATTGTCCTTAATGTCCCACACCTCATTAGCGTTACTGCCACGGAGTTAACTGGTATTCTCAGTTAATGCACAGCCTCAGCCCCAGTGCAGTAACTTACTTTAACACACAATATTCTGCACTTGTTTTTCCTCTATCTCAAAGCAGAATATTCTAAGCTTTAATTCTGTCCATTTTACTACAGCTCGCTACTGCATCAGCCCTAAGAAATAACTGATGTTGGCAACCATCCCACTGCAAAGAATTGCAAAGCCATAAAAAGCTCACCCTTTCTCTAGGCAAAGATAATTTACAGCAGCTTCAAGGGGTACTCCACAGATGAGCTCATTCAAAGACAAACTTCGTTGCACCTCCTCAGCTCTCAAGCACCTAAGGACCATGAAGACTATAGGAATTACTTTAACTATTCAACTGACAGAGCACTGCTTTCTCCCCAACAGCACTGTCACTGGAGTGCATCTGAAGGGACACAAGTGGTCACTTCAATTCACATGCGCTTCCTAGAGCCCTCATCATTCACAGCCACTTAATGACATGTGAAATTTGCTGTATTTTTCCACATGTGCTCTGCTAGCCCGTAAGCATATGGAACTATAAAAATACAGCTTACAAGCTGTCGTTTCCAAGATTATCACTTGCAGTATTTTTGTTTTAATATTTTACCTGCAGGTCCTAGGACTGACCAAAGCAATCTTTGCTATGAGCTAAGAAGGTCTTGCAGACGGGAATAATCACGGCAGGAAGCTGACAGCACAAGCAATGAGAGGATACCATGAGAGAAGGAAAGACCACGGAACTGCTCCACCAATTTGGACATTGTGATCAAACTGTACAGGCTCGGACCTTCACGTTTTTTCTGAATGTTTCTCACCCTTAACTCCCACAGGTCAGAGGTAGCCATTAGGACACGCTCTCCACAATGTTCCCATCCAAGCTGAATTAGCAGTACTGATACAAAATAGCAAGGGGGGAGAGGGAAGTCTAGTAGAAAGGCAAGGTTAAGAACAGATATGAGTGCTGCAAGGTCACTTTGGGCAATTTATCTTCCACTCCTTTATTTTCTTACTGCCATCTTCTCTGCCTCTTAAACTACTACAGCGTTAGAAAGCCTGGCAAGAAAACCACCTCTGAACGGCAAGCACCCGCTGAACTGAAGAGAGACACTCCATTTCCTTGTCCTCCTGCTGTTCCTGAGCCCCGTCTTGCCAAAGGAGGATGACAGAGAGCAACCATTTAACCGACCCCTCTAGTTGGCATTTTGAATGCCCAGAAACTCGCTGCAATTCCCACGGTGAGGATCCCAACCCTGAAAGCAGCGCCAGAACGCAATCTCTAGCCTTCCAAATCCAAAAATAAAACAAGCAATCTGTTCACTTGCTTTAAGCACCGGCCTAAAAATGGGCAAGTTTACACTGACTCTGTCCTACTAGCTTTGCCCTATCAATAAGTACACAGTAACGCAGCATACCATGACTAATATTAACACTCGCAACTGAAAGCAGAAGTATTCAAAGCCTAAGGCATCTAAAGCCTAAGGAATTCAAGCACCCAGCTCTTGTAGACACCTTCAGAAAATAACCAGTCAAAACACCTACCCCTCAAACACAAAGTACTACAATGGACATAAACAGTATTTTGCAATATAATTACATACCGAGAACTCTGGTAAGAAGATTAAAAGTGAAGTTAATCAAGGTTGCTTGAACAAAAGTTAGGAAGCGTCAGAAATAAGGCAAGAGAGACAACCTCCTTTCTAACATCCTTGTGATTTTTTGATTTTTTTTTTTTTTAATCACATGAGAGCTCATGGAAAAGCTAGGAATAGGTCTCAATTCTAATAAGTACAAGTCCAGCATCTGAAACCTTTGTGCCATGTCTTTGCTTTGGGCCATTCTCCAAGCCACTCACTACCCAAACAGTGAGGCAGAGTCCAAAGGGCAGGGTAAGGCTGTAGGGGTGCTCAGAGCACTCAGGTTTAGAGAGGGCTTAAGATACCAGAGGACAATATTCAATGTCACGAGACAAACAGCGCACTGCTGTTACTTAAGAAACCAATCCAGTATCGCCCAGTAATTCCTAGTTCACTGGGAATCAAAGAGTTACCAACTAATGCAAGCTCGCATTACACACTGAAGATAACATTTTAGTCATGAGAGTACGGCCCAAATGATCCAACTGCGCTTGCAGCAAAATCAGAGCCTGGGCAACAGCACCTTTAGTCCCCAATTACTGCACCTTGCACGCACATAATGAGCAGGGGCGCCTGCTTTTCTTCCTGACCAATGAATTCTTAGTCGAAAAATCCTCAACAATCCAGATAACAAGTTCAAGAAAAATCTTTCTCCTCTAAACACAGAAGATATCTCTCCGCATATCCATTTCCTGTGCATGGCCTGGAAGAAGCATGTCATTCTTGACATTCATCCTCTCCCCGTTTTCCTTCTTCCCCTGCCAAAACACAAGACAAAAACAAAACAGGCCTTCACCCTTAAAAGTTTCCCCCCACCTAGTTATGGCTGGGTGGATGTACTAACTTTATTTTAAATGAATGAAGTATTTAACCGCTTAGATTTTTACCATTTGCTTGCTTATAATTAAAAAAACAAAAACACCATACTGCAAACTGACAATCTTCCTGAGGCCTTGAGCCCTCAATTTGTTCCAATGAGCATCAAAAAAGCAGATGGGCAGAGACGTTTAAGGCCTGCTGACTTGTACACAATCAGTTATCAAACCCCCTGAAAATTATCTCTATGAGCAAGATTATTGCAAGGTGGGTGAAAAAATTAACTAAGCACAGGATTTTGTTCCCAGCATTTTAACCCAAAAATAGAAATTAGAATTATTTCTCCAATATATCCTGATTTGCATATAAAACGTGATGCATTGCTAAAGGCAAGGTGAATAAATTTTCCTCTGGTCTAATATTAGTCTATTATCTCTGTTAAATCTTCCAGAGAGGAAACGTACACATCTAGAAATGCAGCACCATCTGGCTAGGAATAGCTGCTGTTCTGAAGTAATCGGATACGAATTTCCTTCTTTCCTGTAAGAAGGAAAAAAAAGAAAAGAAATCAGCAATGCAAAAATAAATGCTTAAAGAAGTTGATCAAGTTTTTGCCATCTTGTGTCAAACTTCACAGGAAAGCTAAGTTTGAGAAAGGCTGCAGAGGCTGAGAGGTATGCAGTAGAGCGGATAAAAATCTGGAGTTAAACCAGACCAGGTTTGTGCATCCCTATATGACACTACTACAACTTCACTTTGATTAAAGATATTGAGCACTGCTATGTTCTACCACATAAATGAATCATTTGTGAGTTTTTTATGAAAACAAAGCTCCATTACTTTAAACCAACCGTTTATTAAAACTGCAATTCAGCCTGTACATGTACAGCCTTACAAGCAGTGAAATACAACACACTAGAGCTGTAAGTAAAGCCAAAGTACTGCTGTTGCAGTACTGTGTGATCCCTGGGCAAACTGAAGGGACCTGCTTCCCCTTTCCCTCCTGCTCCTCTTTCCTTTTCCAAACATATGATGATCCTACTCCCACCTTTGCACCGCTTCTGGCATGTCAAACCCTTCACTGAACACATTTAACAGAGGAAAATGTCCCGCCACACACGCACGGACACACAAACACACTCGCTCTTGGGGTAGTTTTCTGCTCCTTTACTGAGTTAGACCCCTGCGAGCCAGTCTGACAAATACCGGAGGTAGCAAAAAGTAGGCAAGAAGCATAGGGCAAGGGGAAAAGCAGGAGTGGAAATTCCCCATCTTAACCTTGGTGAGTTGCTGACACCACAAGAAGCCACACTGACACAACAAATGTTGTCAGAGGGCTATTAGCAAGTTTGTTATCTTCTGCAGGATTAGCAACAAGACATTTGCTAACAGATCTTTAGAGCTAAGAACCAGCTCCACCCTACGCCAACTTAATGGCAGTAGTTTTTGTCATTTACTCTACAAAAGTGCTAGAATTTGCAAGGTTTCTCAAGTTCAGTTAAGCTGCTGTTGTTATAATCTACAAGAAAAGAACAAGAATTTCTACAAGAAATTCATCCCTCAGTCTATAAGTGAATTGCTCGATCTCCTGGCTAGAAAGTCATCAAATCGACGCACAACATGAAGCATGATTTTGCCAGCAGGTCATTCCTGAAGAAGTCTCAGCTCTGGCAGAAGCCAGGTCCGTGGGAACAAGCTGTACTGAAGACGGCATTACTACCTTTGCCAAAACCAGCAAGGCACAGCCATCATTTCATTATGGTCACTACTCACAGTGCACAGCTGAGAGAGAGATCTGAATTCTTTTCAACTTAGAAGAGAGACTTTTCTTCCTGGTAGAGCACTGCACACAGCCTAGACCTCTTACTGCTAAAAGACGGAAGTGGTATTCCTCTGCAAGTTTCACAAGCACTGTGGAATAAACCTCCCTTGCGGTCAACATCATCAAACTGTTCTGTACGTCTGCTAACAGGCCCTGCTAAGGTCATCAGTGCCGAAACAACAGGGGAACTTCAACAACGTGAATGAGGTTCACCTATCTACCCAAAGCTGAAAGCGGGATACCTCTTACAGAGCCAGTCCTAGGAAACTAAGACCATTTTGACCACCTTCTTATTAAAGTTGTCCTAGAGCTATCAGCAAACCTGTATTCCTGGTAAGAATTTAGAGCCAGAAGCACTTTGTAAGCCATCGGGTCTCAGATGTATGCCTGATGTTCACCCAGTCGGGCCTGCTGGCTCGACTCAGGGCCTCGTCGGCTGTCACTAGCCCCTCGGCTGACCCTGGTTACCACCCAGGATCTGCCCCTCACCTGCTGCTGGGGCGCCGCGGGTGGCAAGGTCCTGCGTAGGCAGGGGTGGCCTCAGGCAGGCACCAGTGGGACTGTGGGCACCTCTGCATTGCAACAGACCACGTTGGGAAACACCGCTCACGTCACCTGTCAGTGGCAAGGGGGACCTTCACCAACCCATTTGAGGGCAGCTACTCAACGACTTTTCTGTGCATCTTGCCACTTGCGTCTCTTGCCACATCAAAGACAGGTAGTAAAGCACCACCTGCACCATGAACCAGTATGTTTTGCACACCCTTGTTTTGTGAAGTGCTAAGTGGATACACTGCACCAAGACAGCATACATTATCCACGCATTAGACTGCCAGCATAGATAGCTACACAAAAATCATTTTGCCGTGTAGTACTCTACCACTATAAAGAATCTGGTGTTTTATTAAAACAACCAATCATAAACCGAGAACATACTGCAGCTTATTTTGTGCCAAGTTATTGTGCTAACAGAGCTGACTTGACCGGTCTTTTCTTTTCACAGAAGTACACAATTGTACTTGATGCACAATGGTATCAGATTTAAAGGTGCCATACAGCACCCACACGTACACCAGTACCTCAGGTTAGGACAACCTTCTCCAGAACTAAATATACCTTTTCATTTCTGCAGGACTAGACAAGCAAGTAGGTCACCTAAACCGGTATAGTTGGGAAGACATGGAACTCGGTAACAGTGCAGCAATTCCTTGATAAAAAAAAAAAAAAAAAAAAAGTACTACGCATTGTTCAAGCCTGAGGAAGAGGAAATAATTCTGAGCCAGAAGAGATTTTTAACCACATCACAGCTATGGCAAATGAGAGCAGCTCTGTAACTGTGCTCTCTGCAACAAGTTCAGGGCGTGCAGCCTTAGGTACAGAACAGTAATACTGGTGTGGTCTACATGCAGGTTTTTTTACCAATATATTTAGGCTCTGTGAGAGTAAAAAAAAAAAAAAAAATCCCTCAAAAAACAGTATGTGCTTTTTGCAGGCAAGCCTTTATACCAATATTAAACTCTTCTATTGATTTTGCTTATTTCTGTGCATTTATGAGAAGTGTATCTACATCAGGGATTATACTGACTTAAATACACTGGTGTATGCACTGCGCCGTTAAAACGGCACAAGAATTACACGTATAAAGGACTGCCACTACTCACACGTGCACGTTTACAGTAAACTTTCAAGTTCACTCGAACGCAGCCTAGGACCGATTAAGGAAATCTTTGTGTATTAAAACAACAACAAAAATCTTGGTACCACAAATGAAAGGCCAGTGACAAAAAGCTGGAAGTGTTAAGAGCACTGCATCCTTTTGACCAGGAGCACTAAAAGCATGACACCAGACCATTTTTCCATTAATCCAACCTTCTAGCCTCCTGCCCACCCTCCCTCCCCTCCTTTGTCTCAGGCTCTGCTACACAATATTCCGTCCATCTCACAAGAGCGCCTTTTCAGATCGGAGGTCAGATTTAAATCCCAAAAGCGCTGCAAAAGGCCTATATTTGATTACAATGCTATATGATGTCATGTATCCAAGACAACTGAGGCATTATGGTCTCCCGGGGATAAGACTGCCTCTTGGTCATAGATTTAGGCAACCCGGCATGTGACTGATCCGTTGTCTCCAGACGAAAAATGTGTGCAGCTGCACTCCCCAGCACAACACATCACCAAAACAAAAGGGCCAAAGAGCTGTTCTCACAGGGCAGTAGCACAGCAGTGATGGTCTCCCCCACTCCTCTTGGCTTGTAAATACAGAGGAGAATCGGAAGAATAATCGGGTTTAGAAAGGTGCTTATCTCATTAAAACCAGCCTGAAAAGCAGAGAATCTGGAAACCTGTAGGCTTATAAGTTTCTTTTTAATCTTGGTAATGCGTATGGCTCAAAAGAAAAGAAATAGGGCTTCCAGGTATCTACTGGAATATTTTCAAGTTTCCCTCATTTTTAAATGACCCTTTAACGTCAATACTCTCCCAAACCCTGGGAACTAACTAGGGGAGGGGGAAAGAAGTAGTGAAAACTGATGAAAAGATCCAATATCAGGAGAAGTTAAAAATCACTCTGCAAAATTTTAAAGGGAAAGGACTAAAACCTTATCATAGCTTGGGGGAGTGGGGCAGGGGGTGAGAAGGATGGACAGATTTCACCTAATTTTCTAATTTATATAAAAGCAAGTTTTTATTTGTTATTAAATACACACACATAGAGCATGCTTTTGTGATTAAAATAAATAACTTCAATGAAAACAATACTGAGATATGACGAGACAGCAACCAGATTCTGGGCAGATGGGCCTTTCATGTTTGGTCCCAGAATCTTTCAACCATTTAGTATAGTTCTGTCCACAAAGAATTTAAAATCGTCAACTCCTTCCAAAGACATTAGTCAGCTTTGGACCCAGTTCCTTGCACCTCACAAAACATGCAGATTAAAAACAGTTTGAATATAATACAACTATTAGATTTAACAGAAAACCTGGCAAACAGCAAAACCTAAACTAATAAAAAAAAAAAAATTTGGCATTTCGGGAATAAAAAAAAAACTTGCTGTCATAGGAGAAAGTGTTTTTAAGAAAAATTGCCAGTAGTAGCTTTTCAAAAGGAATCTTCAAGTCCTATTTTTTTAAATTCAGTTTAGCGCTTGCTAAATGAAATTAAAAACAAAAAAGTAAATCATTGGTATGTTCACAACTGAGCCATTTCAGCAAATGCCTTGCAAAATAGTTCTGATGCTAATTTCCTTTTCAAGATAACTGACACATCTCTTCCACCCTCTTGAAACAGAAGTGAGTATTCTCATTGCTACTTTTCAGCTGGTATCAGTAACAATTTACCAACATTAGAAACCATAATATTATCTCTTTCATGCAGCCTTTCTGCCTACTTCAGCATTAAAATAGCAGAACTCCTGAGTTTCAGCTGAAAACCGACAGTTGGAAGCTTTATCTGAAGTGACCTTGTGCAAGATTTAAGAGCAACATCAAAGCCATAACACAAGGTAACTACTGCATTACCAGTACAACTTTTGTGAAATCGCATAGCTTTCATTGATTTCTATTTTCAAGCTACTACTACTGAGGTATTCCTTATAGTCTACGTGTTGATCACAGCTTTTCAAGACTCTCTGGTGCCCAGTGAGGACATACGCTTAGACTTCTGCATTGAAGTATAGCTCATTTTCTTTCAAATCCTATCCCGAAAGCTCTGTAAGCAAGACACTAAAAAGGCTAAAAACTCAACAATCAATTAGCATCCATATATACTGAGACATGCTAAATATGTAACTAGTACCCACTCACATCCTCAGAAGCACACAGGCATTGCTCAGTAAGCTAGTATTTTTTGTTCAACAGCTACTTTGACCTGTGCGGATCAACAGCAGACGTGAAGAACCAACGGCAAAGTGAAGCAAAGCTCTTAGTTCTGATTCCCCCTCTCCGTTTTAAAAACAAAACTTGAACTCTCCCCTCCCACCTGCTCAAATTACTGGCTGTCTTTCTCTCAATTTTATGCTGCAACTGTTGAACTCTGCTTTTTATTCTGAAATTACTTTATAT